AAAACAGGCAAATTCTCTGCAAATGAATTAAATTCTCAGTCTTATGTGCCCCTTTACTGCACTTGTGTGTTTATTTGTCTTTGTGTGGGGTTTAGAGAACAATTTTTCGGGAGTTGGTTTTCTTCTACTACGTGAGTTCTTGGGATGCAGTTCCAATCATCGGACTTAGCAGTACATGGCTTTAGTGGGCCATCTCTGCAGTCTTTATATGTACTTTTAAAGTGAGAGTGGAGTTACCTTAAACTTGAATGATTAGAATGAGCCTGGAAAAATGTAAAAGAGGAATTGCTACTTACGCCTCGCTCATTGCTAATAAAGAAAGAACTACTTCCCTTTCAAAAGAAGGAAAAGGAGGTGCTCAGAAACCTCTCTTCAGCTGTCAAAGTAGCTAATACTTTTAACTTAAGACTATGTGAATTCATGGTAGAAAAATTTGCCAGTGTTTCATAAAGTCATTTTTACACAGGAAATGTGCAGTTGTATTTTATAGGTTGTTATTAATTGCTCAGTGGTTAAGAGCACTTGTTGCTCTTAGACCAGAGTTTGATTTCCAGCACCCACGTGGCACCTCACTCGTGTCTGTAACTCCAGGTTCAGGGACCGGGCACACGCTCAGTGCACTACGTACACACAGGCAAAGCATGAATGCACATAAAATAAAAATAACACAAATCATTAAAACAGGAATTGATGTGAAAAACTTTGCACAATTGAGATTGATCAGAATAGTTTTAATATTATAACTGCTATTTTTCTCTTCTTTCTTGTCACAAAGCTGTAATCAAGTTGTCGGCTCGAGTTGCAGTCATTTCAGGGCCCACCACAGTTTGCAGTGAGAATCGGTTGTTGTTGGCAGGATTTCTATTCAAAGGGAAGCTCATTAGGGAAACCCAGAGTGTCCGGAAGGAAAGGCAGTTGTCAGGCTAGAGCAGGAGCCCGGGGACCGGGGCGAACCAGCCCTTTTAACAACAACTTGCTCACGTGTTAGCTGTGAAATGTCACTCAAGAGAATGGACTTAGATTGACCTCATATTTTCACTTCAGGATTTGTTGGCAACTGCTGTCATAAGATCCTGTCTTATAAATTAGGCATTGGGATATGAAAACAGCTTGCAACAATGTTTCTGGCAACCTTTAATGTCTGAATAGCTTCCATTACTAAGGCAAATGTAATGTAATGTCGAGTAGTTGTGTATTGGAATGATATTGATAGTGATTTATGTAGTAAAAATTCAGTGTGTGTGTGAGAGAGAGACAGAGACAGAGACAGAGACAGAGACAGAGACAGACATAGAGACAGTGCTGGTGATGGAACCCAAGGCATCACACATAATAGGCAAGTGCTCCAGCACGGAGCTGTAGCCTGCTGCCCTTACCCTACGGAGCCTCTTACTCTGACTGCTGGACATTGACTCTAGGCGTGTGTGCACATTAGGCAAGTACTCTACAACTGAATTACGTACACCACCACTCAGCCCCCTTTTCTTTCCCATATAGAGTCTTATTGCATATCCCAGAATGACTTTAAACTCACTGTAGCCCAAGGTTGCTCAAACCAATGGTGATCCTTCTGCCTCAGCTTCAAGAGTGCTGGGATTACAGGTGCAAACCAACCATGCCTGGGGCTTATGTTACTTGAGACAGTCATTTGTTTAGTCCAAATGCCCCAAACTCAGGATCCTCCTGCCTCCGCCCCTTGATTATTGTTATTACAAATGTGCTTCACCATGTCCAGCTGGCTACCACATTCTTTTTTTGTGGGTTTGTTTTGTTTTGAGGCAGGGTCTCTCTACATAGCTGGGGCTGTCCTGGAACTCACTATGTAGACCAGGCTGGCCTTGAACTCAGAGATTGGTGTGTCTCTGCTTCTGAGTACTGAGATTAAAGGCCTGTACTACTATGCCCAGCTTTAACTACCACATTCTAATCTAGGCTTTTTTTTTAAGTTCAGGTTGATTCTATGAGGTAACTTTTACTGATGAAATGTTTGGTTCTGTTTTGAATACTAAGAAATAACTTTTGGTTGATGCAATTTATAATTACAAGAGTTCCAAGACTAATTTTGAGTAGCGTATCCTGATCTCTAGAATTAAAAACAAAATCTGCTTGAAGGCATAGAGCTCAGTGGTAAAACACTGGCCTTGTGTGTGAGGTCCTGGGTTCAAGTCCCATTGCCACACACACAAAAGTAATCCATTGTAGTTGAGTTTGTGGAATAACAACAATAAAATGTGCTTTCACTCCCAATGTGCAAATCACCCTTTTGGTTATATTAAAATATTTTGAATGTGCCTTAATTCTCTTATTTTAAAAATGTATTTAATTATATTTTAAGCTCATACGACTTAAGTTTAAATGGAGACAATATTTTCTTTAAATAAAAATTGGATAATATTTGATTTGGAACGATATATTCTAACTCATTCTGTTAAGGAAAAAATTTAGATAATTGCTCCTGTAATCCAACTGAATACATGCAAACTCTTTGTGCTGTATACTGCCCAGTGTGACTTGAAGTTAAGGGAGAGTGCAGGTATCTAAAAATGTTGATTTAGATGGCTTTTAAAAATACTAACCTGAGCTGGGTGTGATAGCACACGCCTTTAATCCCAGCACTTGGGAGGCAAAGACAGGTGGATCTCTGAGTTCGAGGCCAGCCTGGTCTACAGACAGCCAGGGCTACACAGAGAAACCCTGTCTCGAAAACAAACAAAAACCTTGGTCTTTATATTATAAATCAAAATGGAGCTCTGCTGCCTGTGTCAGTACTAAAGAGATGAAGCTGGGTACCTGAAAAAGAGAAGAGGTTTGCTGGGCTCACAGTGTGGTAGACTGTCCAGCCTCTGGGGAGGGCACCGTGGTGATGGGACAGACGCGGAGAGGGCAGCTGGCAAGGCAGGGAAGGAGCACTCAGGCGCAGGCGTCCTGCTTCGCCCACGGCCTGCCCCGGAGCAGCCTTCCTGGGGGTTCCCCTCCAGCAGCCTTCCTGGGGGTTCGCCTCCAGCAGCCTTCCTCGCTCTCTGTCCTGTGACTGTTGAAGTTCTCTACAGCACTCGGTGTCACCACACTGAAGGGGGATGTTTGGGGGGGACACTCAGACTATATCCACACTGGCAGTGTAGATATCCCATGCCTATGATACCCAATTTGAATGGATTAGTCATTTTAAAAAAATCATTCATAATTATTGTACTTTAGACTTAGATTTGTAGAAAATGGATATAATTTACCCAGAGAAATGTGCATGTTAAAATAAAATGTGAATCTAGCAAAAAAATCTTAGCAAGGTGCTATCAGACTTTGATATTTGTGCCCTGTACAAAATACTTCATAACAATATTGAAATGTAAGCTCTTCATATTCCAGATTTGTTTCTGTGGAGAAATGATTTTATATTATAATTTTACAGATGAAACAGGAGAAACCTGTACAGTTTCTTTAGTTTATTTCCATGGAAGGAAGGACAGTGAAGCCACAAGACTCCATCTAGAAGACGGACTGGTGTAGGAAGCTCAGTGGGTAGAATGCGCTTGCCTAGCATTCATGAACCCCTGGGTCTTCCAACCTGTAATTCCAACATTTTGGAGGTGAAAGCAGGCATATCAGAAGTTCAAGCCTAACCTGGGCTATATAAAACCTTGTTTCAAAAAGGAATTTTAGAAAGACCTGGAAGGTAGGGATGGATGGTCAGTAGTACAATGGTAAGAGTGCTGAAGTGCATCCGGATCTAGTGCTACTGGTGTAGGGCTTGAGTCCGTCTCTGCCGTAGCAAGTTACAGAAGGAGTGTGTGCAGTTAAAGGCAGCAGCACACCCTTGCATACATTTGCGAGTGAGATAAAATTCTCACTGGGGGTCTCGTTGCTTTGTGTTTGCAGTTTGTACATGGCCTTAGTTAGGTGTTTTTTTTTTCTCCATCTCTCTCTCCCTCCTTCCTTGGAACTGAGGACTAACTCAGGGCAAGCACTTTAGCACTGAGCTAAATCCCCAACCCTAGTCTTTTTGAGGCAGGGTCTCTCATTGGCCTGGCACTTTCCACGTAAGCTAGGGTAGCTAGCCATCAAACCTCAAGAGTCCACCTGTCTCTGCCTCCCTGCCACCAGGACTCCAGTGCGAACCACCACAAGCAGATTTTTAAACGTTGAGACAGGGTCCCACTGTATCCCTGGTGTCCTGGAACTGACTGTATAAACCAGGCTGGTCTTGAACTCAGAGATCCACCTGACACTGCCTCCAAGTGCTGGGATTAAAGGTGCGCATCACTCTATAGCGACAGCCAGCTGTTTTACATGGATTATGCAGACTGAACTCAGATCCTTATATTTGTAAGGCAAGCATGTTAACTACTAAGGACTTTCTTCTTCCTTTTGATTAGAATTTTTCTTTAAATGACAGACATGTTGGTACAAGTATTTAAGCCCCCTCAAAAAAAAAAAAAAAACAACAAAAGAAAGTAAAAAAAAATGTTGTTTTTCAATGACTACTTTTATGCTTGCTTATAGGTACCAATAGTAATTTTAATCTGAAGTCTAATGATTGCTGTCCACCCATGACAGCTGTGTAAATTTTAGTATAAATGCAAACATGGTGGCCTGATAGTCCTAAGAAATAGCAGATTTTGATCAACTGTTGATTGTTACGCTGGCATTGCAAAAGGACGGTGGTGGTTCAGTGAAACGCAAGTTTCTTAGCTAGTTTTTTTTTTTTTTGAGTTGTTAAAATAAGGCTGCCATTATAGTGGACACTTAAAAATGAAATCATTTAAATATTTGTATTTTCCTTGTATTTATGACTTTGCCAAACAGTCAAATACTGTTTTTGATTCGTTTTTACTTCGGTGAGTACATGTTTAGCTCTGTGGTGCATTTACATGTTTCTCCTGTAGCTCTACATGAGTTAATAATCTCAAATAAAATTAAATAATCTTCTTATTCTGCTAGAGAAGAAAAAAACTGGATCACTTACCAGTAACTGGAGTTCTCCTATTGGGTAATCTCCACAGATCCACATTCTGTGAAGCTCTTGTGAATGCCTCGAGGACCAAGGGACCGTTGCAATCCCATCTCGGGAAGGTAAGTGAGTGCCTGCAGCATGTCTCTAGTCTCTAAGCCCGCCCCAGCTTTCTTCCATATGTATGCGTCTGTGCTGCATGCCCTCAGTTCCCGTGGACGCGCTTCACGAGGACCTCGAGATGGACAGAAGGAAGGGGTGGATCTGTGAGGGAAAAGACCCAATAGGATAGCTCAAGTTACTGGTAAGTAATCCGGTTTTCACAAACTTGAGATTTTTGTCTCTCGAATTTCTTCTCTTTAGGAGATTAATAGAAAGGAAGTTGTTTTGGATAACGTTTTTTGTATGTTATGAAAGCTCTTATGGATAATATGGCAAACTATTAATAGATATATGCATAAGTATGGCAGTGGTTCCAAAGTGTTATTTATATAACTTTCTAAAAAGTATATGTTTTAGGTAAATAGTGTAATCTAAAGTAATACAGGAAGCTGCATATTGAGTTCTTTCATGAATTCATTTTAGTATTGCTTTTAGTGAAATACTTGAACTGTATACTTATACACAAATAATTTGGTCAAGTTGTTTTGGCACAGTGTTTCTGGACAGTAAGAATAGATTGTGTTTGTTTGTTTGAGATAGGTGCTTACTGTATAGACTAGGCAGACTTTGATCTCACAGATATCTACCTCTCTGTGTCTCTCAGGTGCTGAGATTAAAAGTTTGTGCCCCCATGACTGACATTAAGTTATAATCAACTAGCACTTACCCTTTTTTCTTTCTTAACTTTGTATACACCAAGTAGACTCTGAACCACTGAGCTACATCTCCAGTCTGACCAGCACTTTTAAAAAAGAAGTTTTTAAGCTTTATTATTTGTTGTTGAAACTGACTCTTGGATAGACCAGGCTGGCTTCAAACTTCCTGGGTAGCTGAAGCTAACCTTGAACTCCTGATTCTTCTGCTTCCACCTCTGGAGTGTGAGGATAGCAAGGTGTACCACCATGCCTGGCTGACCAGCACATATTAAATGAAAAGTTCTCATTGGGTCTCTTGATTTCATTCAAGGTACATCTGAAGCATGATCTTGGGAATGCTGCAGTTACCTTTCCATGTCCTTGTCTGTAATTAAGACCTCTGTCTGTTTACACACGTGCATGCACACGCATGCACGCACGCACGCACGCACGCACGCACGCACGCACGCACGCACGCACGCACGCACGCACGCACAGACAGACACACAGACAGACCTACAGGCAGTCAGACAGACACACAGCTTTAGGGCAACTTAACAGTACAATTATTTTTGGTCTCTTTTGTTTTGCACTATTCTCTAAGGGCATTTTTAGAGTCTGAGTAATATGTTGCATGAATTCCTAAATTGTCTTATAATAAAAATCCGAAGCCAGATATTGGGGTAAATGCTGAAAGAACAGAGAGAGAAAGGAACAAGCCACTAGAGAAACTTCTTACCAATACTGAATCCTCAGGCTGAGTAGAAAGCGAGATCCTATCTGGACAAATTCTCAGACTGCATGCCTCTGAGTCTTCAGCGGAAAAGGCTCTAGTTCCTGTCTCCTTATATGCCTTTCTCCGCCCAGCCATTTCACTTCCTTCCTAGTGTTGGGATTAATGGCCTGTGTGCTTCCCAAATACTGGTAGCAAAGGCATGAGATCTCAAGTGCTGGGATTAAAGGTGTATGACTCCCAAGTACTGGGATTAAAGGTGTGTGCCACCACTGCCTGGCCTCTATGTTTAATCTAGTGGCTGGCTCTGTCCTCTGATCCTCAGGCAAGCTTTATTTGATACATAATATACTTCTATAGCTGTTTTATAAATTTTCATTTATTTCTGGGTATTTAAAGGCCTGACCTAATTCCATTTCATTCTCTTCATGTAGTCTTAATTTCTTCTATTGGAAACTTTGCTCATTGCTCTCATTTGGAAAGTTTCAAGGTTTTGGCCAGTACTGTTCCAGTTCTCTTCCCCACTCTTACTTCTGGGCTTGAAAGCTGAAACACTTCTGCCCCTTACCAGTCTTTATTGGCACATGCGGGCCTTCTCTGTCAGTCATTCCTCCACAGTTAATATACCTTGACATCTAGAGGCCTGCTCTCTCACTGGGTCTTGGGGCACACTGATTAGGTTAGGATGACCAGCATGTATTGGTGTAATTATTAAGGCCACTCCACGTAGTTAAAAGGAAGATTTATTTAGTAGGTGACTTACAAATGAAGGAATAGGTAGATTGTGGGGGTCTGGGGAAGGTGTATCGCAGTCCAGCGGTGTTCTCTGGAGCTCTGCTCAGTCAACCTCCACCATCTAGGGTCCAGGAACAAAAGGAGCGCTCGCCCGTCCAGGTCTCGGGTCTCCAGACGCCTCCCTTGGCCCTGCCTCGTAGGCGTGACAGTTGCCAGAGTTTCAATGGGGGTTGGAACTTCCAGATCCAAGCTAGAATGGCTACCCACTACATCTCCCCCTTTTTGTCTAAATAAGAAGGTTCTAAGCTAGTACAAGACTATATACAAAGGAATGGTTATCAAATATTGTCCAGGAATAATGAGGGATAATGACCTAGATAAGATGGAACTACAACCAATGCAAACTATCAAGCAAGAAACACATACTAAAATCCAGAGAAGTATAGAGCATAGGTAAATGGCATGTTATAAAGATCCTTTCAAAAGGTGTCCTATCCTAAAGAA